TGAGCTAACTAGTGACTAATGAGGAGGTGAGTGGAGTACACAGCAACCATGGTTCAGGAGAGACGTGAGTAGAGAAAGGCAAGACGGGATACAAGAACTAGGCAAAGCCATAATGTAGGCCATCACTAGTAAGGGCTTCTTCTTGCAGAGTGAGCTGAGGTTGAATGGCTAGAACGTAGTAAGGTTGTAAGCATGGGAGATGGAGAGTGATGGGTACTCTTCAAGAAGATTCAGTGCTGTGATCCGGGCCCAGGCCATTGGCATTGCTGGGGGTGTGGGTTCAGGGAGTAGAAGGTAAACTAGGTAGATAGTCAGCAGAGAAAGGACTAGTTTGAAAGACAAGGCATAAAGTTGGTATTGTAAACAGGTGGGCATTTGAGGAGGAGAAGACAAAGTTCCATTTTAACTATGACCAGGAAGTGGTTGGAGACCATATTGAAGGTTAGGGGTGTGAGGCCAGGGAGGTTTACTAACAGAAGAAAGGATGTTCATGGGACTGATGTTGCTATAATAGAAGTTACTGTTGGAGTTCTGAAAATGATGGGCTAAAACCAGCAGGCCTGGATTCCTGAGATGTAGGTACAGGAACAAGACCAGACTGAACATGGTCCTGAGATGTTGACTTTGAGTGCCCATTCAAGATTCACTTGGACACTTCTAGAGCGGTTGGTTATGGAAATCCCAAAATCAGGAATGGTCAGGCCAGGGATATTTGGGAATCTTCTGGTAGAGACAGTAGCTGAAGTTAAGGGCCTGGGAGAAGAATCTGAGAAGTTGGATGGAGATGTGCAGAGCGGCTTTTTAGGTCCACCGCAGTTGATGAGGATGTTGAGAGCATGAAAGAGAGATGAATGGGGCTGGAGATGAGAGTAACTGTGAGAACCTGTCATACTCAGGGAACTTTGGAACTGGCCAAGGGGAGAGAACTGCCTCCTTCTTGGTTTTTCTTCTGTTGTTGTTTGATTTGGTTTGGGACAACTTCTCAGAATGTAGCCTAGTCTGCCCTTGACCTCTCAATCCTCCTGCTTTCCAAGTGCTGCCTGGGATTATAAGCCTGTGCTATCCCTCCTGGCAGGATCTTCATTTTATTTCTATAATATTGAACCTCTTCTCTTACTGATGTCACTGTATTTCATTCCCTTTCCTATCATTTCCAAATAGTCCCTCTACTGTCAACCCACCAAGAAGCCACACCACCCCTAGGTTTGTGTTGTGGGCCTTTTAGACCCAATACCAGTCAATTTTCCTCATGGCTGATCTAGGTTAGTCTGTTCCATAGAGATTTGTTTGTGTTTCATTTTACACTTGATTTTGGGCTAACTACTGATTGGGGCTGGAGAATTATCTCTTTAGAGTAAGTTTTTTGAGGAAAGTGATCTTGTTTTAATCTTCTTCTGTGGCCTTTGGAGTCTGGAGTAGGCGATAGAGTAAATACTTATCATTTTGCTTTTTTGTTTGTTGGTTGTTTATTTTTGGAGACAGGGCTTCTCTATGTAGCCCTAGTTGTCCTGGAACTAGCTCTGTTGACCAGGGTGGCCTTGAACTCAGAGATCTGCCAGTCTCTTGCCTCCCGAGTGCTGAGATTGAAGGCGAATGCCACCACACCCCAACTTACTTGTTGCTGTAAGAAAGTTCTCGTTGACCAAAGTGACTGGCTTGAGCTTATCTATTGGAAGAGGATTCTTGAGGGTTGAGCTTGCAGCTCCAACAGGAGAGGGGGTGTGGAGTGAACCTGTGCAAGGACAACATCTTGAGATAGTATCTTGGTTGACTACTAACCACATCTAAAGGAATATCTAAAGGGAGGGACCAGGAGTGAGAGATGGGTCTTTACTCAGAGCAGCCACGAGGAATGCTGAAAGTCATGCGCCTGTATCAATATTGAGATGTCAATGTTCAGTTTCTCCAAAAATGGACTCAGACTTTACACTTGGCCCTTTGAAGCCTCCTTCTATGTCCACCCCGGATTGGTGAAAATAAAGACCATCGGGGTAGGGTGTCAAGATGCCATAAGATAGTGTCTTAGGAATTTAGTGTTAATAAGAGAATTATAACCCATCACCATCATTATGTAACTAGAGTTTAAGGGCTCAAGTATCAGCTCCAGCATCAATAATGAGTTAGGAAATGTCCCAATATGCCAAGTAAAGACTCATGTAGTGGTGAAAATAGAGTTGGTGGATTGGCTCAAAACACTGGGCAGAGGAGCAAACGAGTCTAGTGACTCCCAAGTTGGTCTTCAAGGCACTGACGTGAGCTTTAGGTGTGAGTCGAGGAAGGACTGAGGCAGAAGGGCAAGAGGTATTTGTAATTAAGCAGTCCTGGTTCAGGCGTGATCTGGTCGATTCTAGTCTCAGGTCTGGGTCTTTGAGGTGGTCTGAAGAAGTCCTTGTTTCTTGAAGGGATCAACCTAGTTTTAGATGTGATAAAGATGGTCTGTTAGGTCATGGATAATTCCTTTAGGGTGAGAGGGTGATCAGTCTCATGAATTTCTTCAGTCCTGGACTCTGAGGTGACTGCAGGTTTAGGACAACGACTTATCTCTGTGAAAGAAGATGAAACAGGTTAGGTTGGCAGACACTCTGAGTGATTAATGTGCTTGTAGAGACTCAGGCAGGGGACTGTCCCAAAGTAAAGATGGCATCTTTCAATTAGTTTCTTTGTAGACCCAAATGAAGTGTCAATGGTTTTTAACAAAACAGCATTACATGCCCAATATGATTGTTGATTACTCTCAAAGGGAGAATTCATATCAGGTGAAGAGGTAGTTACTAAGGAAAGAACAGAAAATAGCAACCTGTCTTTATGACAGGTTTGTAATTTCATACCCCTTAACTCCCAAAGGAAATGTAAGCCTTTCCCATCCTTAGAAAGAGGACTCAGTCCCTGGGATTCCAGAATTGATGAGCCAGATAAGGAATCATGTTCTGGATTGGAGGTAATGACGGCTTTATTACTAGGTTACCAGGATCTAGTCTCAGGTTCTACAATGCTCTCAGGGTTATGAAGGAGATTTGAAGACTAGCGTGGTTACATTTTAAACATCTAACTTGCAAAGAGAATGATGACTCTGCTGTGTGTGCTTGTGTGTGCATGTGCACAAGCTCGAGTGTGTGTGTGTACTGAAAACTATTGGGGTCCAGCCTCTCGATAGCTGTCCCCAGAGTCCCAGCTTGTGGCAAATAAATCTGAGGGATCTTTTGGTAAATCTGTGTACACGGAACTCTTTTTCCATCCACTTTATTTTTCTGAGTCAGTTCTCTCTCTACATGGCTTCTATTCTGCTCTCATGCCTAGCTCCTTTCTTGCCTGATTTCTTTCTGCATTTATCTGCTGTCCCCTCTAAGTTCTATCTTAATTCTTTCATCTTAGTTCCGCCCCATCTAGGTTTTCATCCATCTAGTTCTTTCCCATCTTAGCTCCTCCCCCATCTCCTTCTTTCTCATCTTGTTCTTCCTCATCTCCTTCTTCACCACCTGGCTCTCCTCATCTTCCATCTCGTCCTTCTAGTTCTCTCTTCTAGTCCTCTAATCTAGTTCTCTCCCAATGCAGTTCTTACCCATCTAGTTCTTCTACTCTCTCTTTTCTTTTCCATCCTGCTCTGAAAATAAAACTGCCTTTTATCCCTTTGGCTCTTATCTCGCCAAGCTATCTCTGCTCGCGCAGAGTGAGGGAAGTGTGCTCCATCGCTAGGCAACTTGGCTAAGCAACTTCTGTCACAGCTAGATGCACCTGTAAGTAGGAACCCTTTAGTTCTGAGTTCATTGTTAAGGATGGATCTAAAACGAGAGATAAGACTTTGGAAAGGAGGAAGTAAAGCTTAATCAGCACATCCGTCAGGTCTTCTCAAACAGATTGTCTGGATGCTTAAGTCTGTTCTTAGAGAGTACAGAGGTATCTTGTAAGATACTTTCATCCATCTGGGGATGGTCCTGGCCAGATGCTGCTAACGACGATAATGACAGAAAGGCCTGAAATTAGGGATCCTGGCTGCATTGCTGCACAAAAGGTTACCTAAATATTTCATTAATAGAGGGGAAATTGTGTCCAAATGAATAATGGGAAAGCTACAATAGCAGGTGAGGAATTCATAGCAGGAAATGGCTAATAATCAAAAGTCAATATCATCAAGACTCCTTGAGCCTCAGCTTGACCTCTGGAAGGCCCTTGGCTTCTTCCAGGTATTAGCTTTGTCATAATCAGCTGAAACCCTACTTCATACTATTGAGGTTTGCAGCATGTGTGCGTGCACATGTGTATGCAAGCATGTGAGTTCCTTTGAAGTTAGTTAATATTCCTTCCATTTTACCCTCTTCCTCCTCCTAGTTCCAAAACCTCTTCCTAGTTTGTTTTCTGTGAGAGCAAAGGAGAAGTACTCAATCTTAGTGGAATTCAACCTAGAGTCAAGAAGGGCGTGAGCGGTAGGAAAGCTGGAGGAACTGCACAGATAGGGTGCAGGCTAGAGGCACATGACTTGCGAACAGCAGTGCTCGGGACCAGAGCTCCAGGCGTCTCTGGTGCCACTGTCGTACATGGTCTTCACTCAGAGACTGGGTTTTCTAAGTTTGTAACTAAACAGAAGTTCTTTGAATTGCAGGACATGATGGAATCCCATACTTGGGAGACTAAAGTAGGAGTTTCATGTGTTCAAGGGCTAGCCTGGGTTACAGACCACAACCCTGTCTCAAAACTAAAAGTAGGGGCTGAAGCGATATCTCATCGGTTAGAGCCCTGGATACTCTTGCAGAGGACTCAGGTTCAGTTCCTAATACGCACAGGGTGGCTCACACCCATCTGTAACTCCAGTTCCAGGGGAGCCACACGCTCTTCTGACCTCCACTGGCACCAGGCATGCGTGTGGTGCACATACACACGTGCAGGCCACACATTAAATAATACACAGAACACATGCACACGCATAAAATAAAATAAAAGTTAAAAGTAAACAATTTGTTCCCTGCCTGAAGTCTTATGTTTTGTTTCATTTGTTTGCTTTTCAGGAATCCCTCCAGTCCTGATAGAAAAACTTGAAGTAGCCTGGCTCGCAATCCACCCACCCTGGTTTGCAGAGACCCAGTAGGTCATTGCCCGCCTCAGCTGGAGCATGGACTGCGCTTTTCTGTCGTAACCCCACTACATATCTTTCTACCCACTAACACTACAGACATTAATCTCTACAAAAGGTGAGTAGACTACCTTTTTGGTTATTGTAGCCTTACTACCGAATACTTAGTACCTACTACTTAGTACCTAGTATTTAGTACCTAGCATAGAGTCTATCCCAGAACGACCTAGCATGTTCTGAGTACCATCCCAAACCAGGCAACTTAGACATCACAACAAGGGATGCAACCAGTGAAATTATTACCCTTGTTTTCTAGATGAAGACACTGAGACCTGGGAAGTTCTAGCTGGCCGTTCAGGAAGCAGCAAAACCCGGGCTTGGCTCTAGGTTTTCCTAAACTTCCTTCACTTTTTTTCCCTTTCCTTTTATTTATTTGTTTGTTTTTATTAAGAAAAATTTTCCATTCATTTTACACACCAATCAAAGATTCCCTTCTTCTCTCCTCCCGCCCCCCAGTCTCCCACTCCCAACTCACCCCCCTGTTTGTTTGTTTTTGAGTCAGGGTTTCTCTCCGTAGCCCTGACTGTCCTGGAACTTGCTCTGTACACCAGACTGGTCTCGAACTCACAGAAATCTGCCTGCCTCTGCCTCCCGAGTGCTGGGACTAAAAGTGTGCAGCACCACCACCAGACTTCTCACATTTTTATTCTTTTCATTCCTGACATTTTTCACCTGATTAGATATTTTTCTTTCAGCATTAAGAAATGTTAAATTGGGCTGGAGAGATGGCTCAGGGCTTAAGAGCACTGGCTGCTTTCCAGAGGACCCGGGTTCAATTCCCAGCGCCCACATGGCAGCTCACAACCATCTGTAACTCCAGTTCCAGGGGACCCGACACCCACACATAGATATACATGCAGGCAAAAACAGCAATGCACATAAAAAATAAAATTAAAAAGCAATCAAAAAATAAAGAAAAAAGAAGAAATGTGACGTTATCTGGGTAGTAGTGGTGCAAGCTGGGCGGTGATGGCGCACGCCTTTAATCTCAGCCCTTGAGAGACAGAGGCAGGCAGATCTCTGTGAGTTCGAGGCCAGCCTGGTCTACAGAGTGAATTCCAGGACAGCCGAGGCTACACAGAGAAACCCTGTCTCGAAAAATCAAATGGTGAGGGGGGGCAGGGGGGAGTTGAGAGACTATTATTTCCTTAGCAGCCCTTCTCGGGTCCCCTTTGGTTGAAGACCTCTGGAGGAAGAGGGCCATTTAGATAAAACAAGAATTTAACTTTCTTCAGGAAAAAAAAAAAAAACAACAAAGCTTAGAAAAATAAAAGACACAGAAAGTGCTTGTGTATTAAAACATAATTTACTCAGTGAGTGTGCATGAAGATCATCAATTTCATGAAGTGATCTTTGTGTGCATCTGTCTGAGCACCTCGAAATCCTAAGTATAAAGTACTTCAGGGGCCTGAAATCTGTCGCACACAGGTGTCATTACCCGGGAGAGGCACATCCCAAGCCACTTGCTTTCTTGAGCAGCATCTGAAGAAAAATAGAACCACCTCTGCAATTAGACTTCAGCTATATTTAGGCCACGATTTTTTAATTCCTCTGTTGAATGAAGAGTTGGCATAGGCATTAAAGGTTAAAAAAAGAAAAATGAAGGATCACAAAGTTGGTCAACATGAGAGAGTGTGGAACTAAGAAAATGGTCACTAGAGGGGCTGTTGAGGTGGGTTAGCCGGTGAAGACGCCTCGGTACAAACCTAACAACATGGAGTTGATCCCTGGACCCCATGTGACGGAAGAAGAGGGAACTAGCTGCGCAAGTTATCCTGACTTCTATACATGTGCCATGGCACCCAAGTGCATACACACATACACACATACATGTGCACATACACACACACAAACGTACACACACACACATACACACCAACACATTTGCACACACACCATACACACGCACACACGCAAATGCACACACACACATACACATGCACACACCATACACACACTCGTGTGTGCACGCACACACAAACACAAACACATATGCGCACGCGCACATGAATAAAAAATAAAATAAGTGTTTCGTTTTGGTTTTAAAAAGAAAAAAAAATGCTCAGCAGAATACATTCATCTAAAAACAAAAAGAAAAAGCTGGGCTGTGTTTCCACCGTCAGCCAGCAGAGGGATCTGTGTGCCTGGGCTTCTGAGACTGACCCGCTTGGCCGCATACTGCTGTACCTGGTCTAGAACAGGAGAAAGCTTTTGCAGAGGGGTTGTCCAGCACACCCAACATGCCTGTTTTTCAAGCAATGGTGGCCTCACACTGCTAAGATATCCCACAGCGTGCACTGCTCTTTCCAAATCTCACTGACAAATATAATCTGCCTTTACTGAGTTTCAGCCAATTGTTTATATTAGATTTTAAAGTTTCCAGTAAGATCAGTGAATAATTCAAGATTGGCTGAGTGTTAAAGAAATGACGCCTTATTTATTTATTTTTATCTATTTATTTATCAATAAGCATCTATTTATTTATTAATAGCACCGGGTGGTCTTGAACTCACTAAGGAGTGCAGACTGGCCTCCCGCTGACAGCTTCCGGCCTCAGCCTTCAGAGTACTGGGATTACAGGCACGTGCCACCACGCCCAGCTGAAATGTATTCTTCTATCACCAACCATTTAATAATCCAAGGGCATCTGATGATTACGTTTTGGTGATATCTAGGGAATTTAGTGATCTTTAAGACTACCTTTACCTTCCAGGCATCATTAAATCTTACTTATCACTAACTTACGCTGCGCTAACACGACCATTATACAAGAGATGCGTCTTCCTCACGCTGTGGTGAATAGTAACCGAGGAGTCAGAATGTTGTCATGGCGAGGGAGGATGCTGCAACCCTACAGTACAGAGAAAGAAAGCAAGGCCCAGAGAACCCATCTGGACCTCCTAACTTCCCCGGTTGCTGAGCAAGCCATGCTCCGTTATGAATAGCTCCTTGGCCACCTTGGCTGTGTTTGTCTCTCAGCTTTCCTCTCTTCCCTTCAGGTTGGTCCTGCTGCGTCCTGGGGAGCCTGGACCACCGCTGCCATGACGACTGCCATCCTGGAACGCCTGAGCACCCTGTCTGTGAGCGGGCAGCAGCTGCGCCGTCTGCCCAAGATTCTGGAAGAAGGGCTTCCCAAGATGCCGTGCACGGTCCCAGAAACTGACGTGCCCCAGCTCTTCAGGGAGCCTTACATCCACGCCGGCTACCGCCCCACGGGGCACGAGTGGCGCTACTACTTCTTCAGCCTCTTTCAGAAGCACAACGAGGTGGTCAACGTCTGGACCCACTTGCTGGCGGCCCTAGCGGTCCTGTTGCGATTCTGGGCCTTTGCGGAGGCTGGGGCATTGCAGTGGGCCTCTCCCCACACCCTACCCCTGCTCCTCTTTATCCTGTCCTCCATCACTTACCTCACCTGCAGCCTCTTGGCTCACCTGCTGCAGTCCAAGTCAGAGCTGTCGCATTACACCTTTTACTTTGTGGACTACGTTGGGGTCAGCGTCTACCAGTACGGCAGCGCGCTGGCTCACTTTTTCTATAGCTCGGACCAGGCCTGGTACGAGCGGTTCTGGCTTTTCTTCCTGCCCGCGGCTGCTTTCTGTGGCTGGCTCTCCTGTGCGGGCTGTTGCTACGCCAAGTATCGCTACCGAAGGCCTTATCCAGTTATGCGGAAGATCTGTCAAGTGGTGCCGGCGGGGCTGGCCTTCATCCTAGACATCAGCCCTGTGGCCCACCGGGTGGCGCTCTGTCATCTGGCTGGTTGCCAGGAGCAGGCGGCCTGGTACCACACCCTTCAGATCCTCTTCTTTCTAGTTAGCGCCTACTTCTTCTCCTGCCCGGTACCCGAGAAGTACTTCCCCGGTTCTTGTGACATTGTGGGCCATGGACATCAGATCTTCCACGCCTTCCTTTCCATCTGCACGCTCTCCCAGCTGGAGGCCATTCTTCTAGACTACCAGGGACGGCATGAGATCTTCCTCCAGCGCCACGGTCCCCTGTCCGTCTACACTGCCTGCCTCTCCTTTTTCTTTTTAGCTGCCTGCAGCGCGGCCACCGCCTCCCTCCTGAGGCACAAAGTCAAGGCCAGACTGATCAAGAAAGATTCCTGAGGTCTGCCAAGGGGGAAAGGTGTAGAGATGTGCTACTGTGATTTGGAGAAAACTTGACACAATAACAGAAACTGACTTTTTGTTTTTAAGGCTTGATTTTTAAATTAATATGTATTACAGGCTGGGGATGAAACTCAGTTGGTAGAGAGTGCTTAACATAGCATGCAGGAAGCCCAGGGTTCGATCCCCAGTACCATACAAACCAGTAGCAGCATTCAAGGAGGCAGAGGCAGGAAGATCAGAAGTTCTAGATCATCCTCAGATGCGTAGTGGGTCCAAGGCTAGCTAGCCTTTAATACATGATAACTTATCTAAAAAAAAGGATTATTCTATATTTTCAAGGGCATGGTATGGTTATAAAGTTTCAAATGCACGGCAGGCATTTAAGAGTTTTAAAAGGGAATATTCATTTTCTATCTGGGTTATAGCCTTGCATGGGAAGGGATCCTGGCTAAGATTCATGAGATCCCAAACTAAGGAAAACCACCCCCACTCATGAACACTCCGCAGAATTCTGGATGTGGCTTCCAAAGCTGAGTCCTGAACTGGACAGATAATCAAACTGGACTGCCAAGTAAACTCTGGATGTTCCTCACAATAACAAACAGCGCAGCCACCCTATGCTGCTGGTCTTGGTAACTGAGTAAATTGACCTGTGGACTCCATCTTATTTCAGCTTGCCTAGGGTGGAAATGTCGGAATTTTCAAGAAGATTCATCAAAACCCTTTGACAGAATGGACTATTCAATGTATCTGATCTCTGGTCTCATTCACTGCAGCAATGGCCCCTTTCTCAGGATACCCAACTAGCTGGCCGATTTGCCTGAAGTACTGTTCCCATCCCTAGGCTGCATGGCAATATACAGACTTCCAAAGCTGTTAACACTTCCAGGAAACGCTTGGAGCCATATGAACCTTCAGGAAGCCGATTCTCATGTAATACAGAAACATCAGGAAATGCAACAGTGCCAAGCTCTACTAGGAGACCCAGCCCGAAAACATGGATACCCTCGTCTGTGTGTTCCCCATGGGGACCTTTTAGTTTCTATGTGTGGACTGCAGTATTAACTGCAAGCTATTTAGGATTGTCTTGCAGGCCAGGACAGTATCTGAAGGTTTGAACGGATTCTTTTAAAAGCTTAGCTCTACAGTTGCTCGAGGGATCTGATTCTTTGAAGAGGAACCGAGCATCTAAGGTTCAAATTTCTGTTAGATGCTGTCCCATGATGGACCAACACAGCTACCCCAAATCCAGAGTCCTGAAACAGGCAGTTCTGCCCCTGATTCAAGAAGAAACCTTAAAACAGGTCCTAGGACTGGTGAATGTGTGCTCACTGTGGTTGGCCCCTGAAGGTCCTTTGAGTAAGATTGAGGCACCTGATGGCTAAAGGCACTGTTTGCAATATTGCTGTGAGCAGCTGCTGCGGGGTGGGTGGTGCTTGCAGCTGATGTGTTCTGGCCACACAGCTCTCTCTGAGGACTGACGTCTGCATTAATCCCGTGAAGGAGGCTGTGGCCAAGGAAGAGCTGAGATACCCTCTTTTCACAGGCTGTGTTTCCTATCAGTATAAGGTCCCTGCGTATTAAAAAGGGAAGTGGTCTGTTTCAACTCGAGTGTGATGAACCTCCTCCACTATTACGTCACTTGCTAGTCTTTAAACCTTTGTGTTTTTTCTTTAATCGTTCTGTGAGAGATTTGTGAGTTTTATGCCTTATACATGGAAATGTCTAAACATTTAATTAAAAAAAGCAAAAAAGCAAATTCAAGGTTTGGGTTACTGGGACAAGAAAAAAGAAGAACCCCAGAAAGCAAGAATTGTTAACTTGTCAAATAACTATTCTTCTATATTTGGGGGGGCAGGGTCAACTGAAACTTTCCTACTGCCTTCAAAGCAAGAAAGCATGTGTCTGCTGTATTGTTTTGCTAGCTGGGTTTCTTGTTCATGGTCAAAGAGCTGAACTTCTGTGCTGAGTGTCTGCACTGGCTCCCTGTTGTGTAGGCCAAGTTCATGACAAGGAATGCTATCAAAATTGAAATGGTTTGAACTGACCAAAAGATGGCAGGGGTAGGGGTCCTGTAAATGCTACAAGTAAAGGGTCTGTTTAAAATGGGGACCAGAACGTGTTAGAAGTTCTCTTTGTTATGGATTCAAAGATGGTATTCTTTTAAAAGTTGGTGGGAAAAGTGAGGGGGAAGGAGGGGGGAAGGTGCTCTTGACTGTAACTGCAGTGGTGTTTGTGAATGGAGGTTTTGTCCTTTCTTTC